AGCTCCCTCAGGCGGGCGTTTTCCTCCTGCAGCCGGTCGCTGCGCATGAGGGCTGTCTCCAAGTCCTTGTGGAGTTGGTCCACAGTTTCGGTCTTCTTGATTCGCATGCGGCGCGCTGCGAGATGGGGGGGCCGAGGGTGTGTTCGGGTTCGGGGTGGGGAGGAGGGAGGGCGGCTGCGGGAGGCGCTGGGCGGCGCATGAGGGCCGCATGGAGGGGGGCCGGCCCGCATGCTGCATGGACGGCGGCCGGGCTGCGGGCGGCGGCGCATGGGCGCCCGCGGCGGCGGTTGCGGCTGCGTCGATGGCGCGGAATCAGGGGGGCATGGCGCGGGCGCATGCATTTAAGAGGTGGGACGGCCCGCACCCGACTCGCGGTTCGCCTGGCGCCGCCTGGCACGCCGCTCGTCCTCCGTTAGATTGAGGCGCCGCTTGCCGCCGCCGCCGCCGCCGGTGGTCTGGGTGACCTCGGGGTGTGTCTCTGCGCCGGTGTCGCCGCTAACAAGCCCGCCGGCGCCGCCCGCCCCGCCGCTGACGGTCCCTGCGCCGCCGCTGGGGCTGGCGGCGCGCCGGCGGCGCGAGCGGGCACGGGGCTTTTGGGCGGCGCTGGGCGGGCGCGGCTGCGGCGACACGCCGCGCTGGCGGCGCGACACGGGGGACGCGGAACGCGCGCGGTCCGACTCCCCGCCGCCGCAGTGCGCCCCGTTGAGCGGGGGACCGCTGCACTCCGTGCTACTAGACTCCATATGCGATAACCCGGGGCTCCCGAGCCGGGGGGGAGCCCCGAGCTCTGCCGCTTTTGGCCCCAGCGAGCCGATCGTGAAAGGCGGGGCGTGAAGACCCCCGGCCTGTATGTGCTGTCGATCTGCGGTCCCTCTTAGATACGCTCTGGGGTGCCGGCCGTCATGGCCCAGGCCGACGCGAGTCTCGCTAGTTCAGCTCCAAAACGACGCTCCTACCCCTCATCACAGTCCACTCTGTATTTGGCAAATCCATGGAAACGTATGGGATCTGGTCATTCCGGGCTGCTGGTTATGATACTCACCGGGATCGCCGCCGCCGCTCCGGGCTGGCAGGGTGAGAACACAACAAGGAAGTGGCCTCAGCGGCGCGATATGCTTCAGAAAGGCAACTTAAACATTTGAAGGGTTGAAGTTCTCAATCATTGCGTGGCTGCACCAGTCCGCTAGGGCGCTGCAGGGGGTGACGAGTCGGCCTACCCTCTTCATGCGCGGCAAGCAGGGGGAGGTCCAGGGCCTGGGTGGGGGCGCGCCCTGTCGAGCCGCAAGGGCCCTGAGGCGCAGTTGATGGCATTTTTTTGCAAGCCTGCAAACATCCATGCGCCCTGGCGGTGACTCGGCGGTGACGAGGGCAGCTGGGGTTAGTGGATCAGGCACGCCCCAGGCAGCCGGCAACCCCGATGATGCGTACCCATCGGCAGCTGCCCCGCCTTCCCCTGGGTTCCTCATAACCCGCAGCCGGCCACATGGTGACAACCCCGCAACCCCGCAGTGAGGACCGGCGCTAGTCGCTCGACCGATCCGGTGCCCGCACTGCCCGTCGGCGCCCGCTGCCGCCCGCCAGCTTCCCCGAAGGCTGCCACTTGGCAGGCGCAGCATCGCCCGCCGCGTGAGGGGGCAGCCGCTGGCGTACAGCTGGCAATGGTTTGCAGGGGCCTGGCTCGCGGGCTTCTCCCTTGGGGGCTGCGGGCGGTGGTGCTGCGCGGCAGGGCCGGCTCGTACACAGACGCAGCTGCGCGGCGGGGCCGGCTCGTGCGCAGACCAACCATGAGCCGTGGTCAAGAGCCTCGGCCGCACAAGCCCAAGGGCGAGCGCCCATCGCGCAGCTGTGCGCTCGTGCACCTTTGCCCAGCGGCAGAGCCGTCAAGCTGGTCTGGCTCGATGAGGGCACTGCAGCGCGTCAATCCCAGGCGGCCACCTCCCCGCGCCCCCTGCACCTGGCCCGCAGCCCCACTCAAGTCCAGGCGCACAGGCGCGTGCCGGTCAAAGCGCTGCACTCGGCCGATGCATTTGGCGGCCGCGCCAGCGAAGCGGGCGTGGAGGATACGTGTTGCACCTGGTTACTCATCCATGTGGCGGACTAACATGTTGTGGTTGACCACTCAAGTTGGAAGCAGCGAACGAAGTCGCCTCAACGGTGTGATATGGGAAGGAAGCAAGATATAAGAATTATGATTGCTGGATTATTTCGGGCGCTAACAACATGGGGTGCCCCTGAAAGCGAACGGCGTCCTCCTGCGGGATGCTGCGTTGTCGTGCACGATGGGCTGCGCGTGATGCAATGCAACGGTGGGCGTAAGGAGCCCGGCAGGCAACGATGAAATGCGGGGGTGGGCCTGTCCACCCCTGTTGCATGTGTGTATGGTGAGTGTTGGATTATAAGGGTTTTGGGGTGGCGGTTGTGACCTATGTTGACCTAGACCTGAATTAGCATCACATTTGGGTTGGTCATCCGCGACGATGACGTCATGGGCGGCTCTTCGCCTGCCCCCGTGCACTAAGTGTTGATGAGTCCCTCCTGCTGCGCCGCTGCGCCGATGCCCTCACTGCGCGCCCACGGCACCGGCCGCTGCGGGGCGCGCCGTGCGTATGCGCGCGAGTGCGCGCGCCTTGTGGCTTAGGTGCCAACACTCGCGCCGACAGGCGGCACCCACAGCGTGCCCGGCTCCAACTCCCAGGGCCCGCGCTCGTCCGCGACCCACAGCGCCGTGCCGCCCTGCACGCCGCGCCACTCAAGCACCAGCAGCCGCAGCAGCCCCGCGTCGCCCCCGCCGTACGCCGCGTCGGGCGCGACCGCGTACGCGCCCCGCCCCGGCTCCCCCCAGTCTACGCCGCCCCCGCGCGCCGCCAACGCAGCCGCGGCCGCCTCCGCGCCGCGCGCCTGCCACTGCGTCAGCAGCGACGGCACGCCGACGGCCGCGACGGCGGACGGCGACGGCGGCACGGCGGCGATGCGCGTGCCGCCCGCAGACATGGAGGCGCCGCCTGTCAACTCGTAAGATGGGTCTGCGCCGATGGAGGCGTTGGCGGCGAGGCTGCCGTTCCAGTAGCCCCAGCACGCCACGTCGAACAGCGCGCCGCCGGGCGCGGCACCGGCGAGCGTGGGCGCGAGGCGCGCGGCGGTCAGGCTCAGGAGGCGCCCCTGGCGCGGAGGTTGGGAGGCAGGGCCCGGGGCGCGCGCGGCGGTGCCTAGGAGGCGGCGCCGCCCGGCCTCGTATTGTTGCTCGTGGTTCTGTATGGCAGGGGCCGCGGCCGCCTCAAGGCTCCTCAGCTGCCGCCCGCCCCACCATTGGGACAGCAGGCCGGTGAGCCAGGAGGTGAGGGGGCTGAAGGCATCCGACGGCTGCGGCTCCGCGTCTGTCACATCGCCCCCCGCCGGCGCCGGCGCGTCGGCGATGCCGGGTGCGCCGGCTGCGCCCGCCGCGCCAGCCGCGTCGACCGCGCCGGTCGCGGCTCCGCCAGCAGCCGCCGCCGCGGCCTGCAGCAGCCCTGGCGCGCCCGACGCTCCCACCGCCGGCTGCAGCCCGGCAGGCGATTGCTGCTGCTGCTGCTGCTGCTGCTGCTGCTGCTGCTGCTGCTGCTGCTGCTGCTGCTGCGGCGGCGATGGCTGCTGCTGCGCCGCCTGCTGCGCCTGCTGCGCCGCCTGCAGCGCCTGCTGCTGCTTCAGCAGTGCCTGCTGCCGCCGCTCCTCCCTCTCCCGCGCCTCCTCCTCCTCCTGATCCTCCCCACCCCCTGCCTCGTTCGCGGGGCTGCCCTCCGCGCTCGCCGCCGCGCTGCGTTTCAACGCCACCTCCCCAAACGCCGCGTCGGCGCTGTGCTTCCCCGCGCCCGCGAACCGCGGCCCCGACGCCACCTCGAGCCCGCCGCCGCCGGGCGGCGCGCGCCGCGGCACGAGCGCCCACGCGCGGCGGGGC